CAGAAATAAACCCATTCTCAATGTCTATACTTGATTTGGAACATGTTTCTAAATGGAAGAGAGTAAGAAAAAGACAAGCATATGTTCAATAACATTTTTTAAGAATTTAAATAATATGCAAATATAAAAAAATAATGAGTCATTTGTAACTGAAAACCTAGATAATCATAAGCATTTAAATACTTAAGTCAAGGAAAATAAGTTCTGAGTTGCCAAAGATATTGTGGGGAAAAGAAAGAGATCAGCCTGTTACTGTGTCTATATAGAAAGAAGTAGACATAAGAGACTCCATTTTGTTCTGTATTTGAGATGCTGTTAATCTGTGACCCTACTCCCAACCTTGTCCTTGCAAGAGACATGTGCTGTGGTAACTCAAGGTTTAATGGATTTTGGGCATGCAGGGTGTGTCTTTGTTCCTAGAAAAGCTAGGTATTGTCCAAGGTTTATCTCCATGTGATAGGATGAAACAATGCCGCTAAAAGGTTTATCTCAAGGCACAGGATTTTCCTTTAAACTTATTCATGTCACAGAGATCCTTGTTCTTATGTCTTACTGCTGATTTCCTCCCTAAAAACGATCCTATTGTCCTGCCACTCCCTTATCTTTAAGATGGTAAAGAGAATTATCTATAAATACTAAGGGAACTCAGAGACCGGTGCCGGCGTGGGTCCTCTGTAAGCTGAGCGCCGGTCCCCTGGACCCCTGCTTTTCTTTCTCTATACTTTGTCTCTGTGTCTTATTTCTTTTCTCAAGTCTCTCGTTCCACCTTACGAGAAACACCCACAGGTGTGGAGGGGCAGGCCACCCCTTCAGATAGTATATCAAGACTCTTTGTCATTTTTTAAAACAAGGCTCTATTTAAGACACTTACAATTCTTTCTAAGAAATTATTGGAAATCTGTTTGTCTAATGGATTTGGAATTCTTCAGCATGTCAGAACTCAATAGACAATGAATATTGTTTCTTAGGAGTTTTTAATCTTGCCTATTTTAGATCTGCTAGGCAATTCCAAAACTCATTTAGCCAATTGGAGTATCTGAGATCTTGTGATGATCTTAAAAAATCTGCCAAAATAACTGTCATAGTCTTTGGTTCCAAGAATTTGAAATGCCATTCTGTGTACTTCAAAGTAAATGGACACGTGGAGTTCAAAGAAGATGAGAGACAGTAACAGATTTATTTATACTGAAAGGCCAAAATGATGATTCCTCAAATTATGTAGAACTTAATTTGAAAGAGTGGAAGTTACTGTCTCTGTAAACTGATGATAGAAATTACTGTCAGTTCCTACGTTGCTTCCCAGAACTCAGCTTCATTTATAAATGACTCATGAATAAGGAGAAAATCAGAAGAGGAAACATTAAATATTTTGAACTGAATGAAAATAACAACATATTAAATAAAACTTGGTGAGAAGATAATCAAATAGTGCTTAGACAGAAAATTTCCATTATATAGCTATAAAAGAAAAGAATACAAACTGAAAATAAAGTATTATTTACAATAAATTATAACAAAGAAAGCAGACAAAATCCAGCATGAGTATAAATTTTGAGAGGTGAATTAACTTACAAAGGTGACACAGCTGTCATCTACATCGCAGCCTGGAGATAGAAAGTGGTGCCTCTTTAACCTCATTAAACTCTTTCTAACATATTTTCTTAACAGTGCTTGTAAGTGAAGTTCACTCAACTGTGTAGTTAAACGTATTTTCCAAGGAGCTGCTTGTGAGCTCAAGTCAAAAATTTAAAAATCAACTCAAAAGATAACTGCAGTTTTTAAAATAGAGTATAATTAAAACAAGATTTGTATGTGTAATTTTGAATCATACCACTTAAAATGTGGAGGGCTCAGAAGAGATCAGCTCTTCTACCACCACTATCACCCCGGCCCTCAACATATGGTAATATCTGTAAAGGTCACATTTTCAGAAAGTCACTTGACCTCTGATTCGATGTTGGATAATACTGTTACCTGCTTCACTGACTGTGACAGTCCTCATCAAAAGCTAACTTGCTCCCCTCCATAAATGTTTTCAAATATCTCAGGATAGTCATTATAATGTTATAACTGTATCTTTTTGTATGCTTTTTTATGCTATAATTTCTTTAACTCTTCAACTACCTATATATTTTCTTCCATGCCATGATGGTATTCTGTGCTTTATTTGACAAATGTTTTCTTTAAGTGATTATTTTAAAGGAAATCACAGCCAGTTTGCACTCATGCAGGACACACTCCAATATGTATCTGCTGTATTCACTCAAGTATATTTAAATTTTTCTGCTTATTTTCACATGATTTGAGGAATTTAGAGTTTATTAAATTGAAAAGTGCTGTGATTCACTGATAATTGACTGTACATTGATAATGCAATGTTGATATCCCAATCTGAAGATGAAGCTAAGACTTGTTAATGATATGACCACCATAAAGTAGCTAAATAACCTGACTAAAGTACAGGGTCTAACTTGAAGAGTAAAATAGTAACATTATTAAGAAACATTTGAGCCCAACGAACTTGCAATAGAAAGAAAGAAAGAAAGAAAAAGAAAGAAAGAAAGAAAGAAAGAAAGAAAGAAAGAAAGAAAGAAAGAAAGAAAGAAAGAAAGAAAGAAAAGAAAAGAAAAGAAAGAGAAAGAAAGAAGAAAAAAGACAGAATGGAAGAGAAAGAAAAGAAGAAAGAAAAAACAAAGAGGAAAAGAAATGGAGGAACAAGAAATGGAAAGACAGAGAGAGAAAGAAAGAAAGAGAAAGGAACAAAGAGAAAAAGAAAGGGAAGAAAGAAAGAAAGAAAGAGAGAGAAAGAAAGAAAGAAAGAAAGAAAGAAAGAAAGAAAGAAAGAAAGAAAGAAAGAGAAAGAAAGAAAGAAAGAAAGAAAGAAAGAAAGAAAGAAAGAAAGAAAGAAAGAAAGAAAGAAAGAAAAGAAAGAAAGAAAGAAAAGAAAGAGAAAATAAGTAGTTGGCTCTACAAACAGCTCCAAAGCCAAAGCAAGGGGCATCAAACTTGATTGAGTTGGTTGATATCAGCAGAAATTGCACATCTAATCAAGCCTTGTTGTTAGCATCAAGTAATCTACAAAGAAAAAAATAAAAGTAATGGGATCATCTGACACTGAATGGTGAGATACAAAACAGAGATTGATGAAGAAAAAAGATTTGGATGAAAGGTCATGATTAGGGTGAAAAGTCATATGCATACTTATTGTAAGCCGATATTAGTTAAAATTTGGGAGTTGGAGGTTACAGTGAGCCATGATTGCACCAATGCACTCAAGCATGGGTGACAGAGTGAGATTCTGCCTCAAAATAAAATAAAATAAAATAAAATAAAACAAAATAAAATAAAATAAAATAAAATAAAATAAAATAAAATAAAATAAATACGTATTGCCAGAAAATAAGCAGTTGGCTCTACAAACAGCTCCAGCTAAAAGTAAGGGGGCATCAAACTTGATTGAGTTATTGATATCAGCAGAAATTGCACATCTAATCAAGCCTTGTTGTTAGCATCAAGTAATCTACAAAGAAAAATAAAAGCAATGGGATCATCTGACACCGAATGGTGTAGATACAAAACAGAGAGCTGATGAAGAAAAAGATTTGGATGAAAGGCCATGATTAGGTGAAAAGTCATATATCGCATGTAAGCCATATTAGCAAAATTTGGGAGTTGGAGTGTTACAGTGAGCTATGATTATATCAATGTATTTCACATGTGGGTGACAGAGTGAGATTCTGCTCGGCCAAAATAAAATAAAATAAAAACAAGCTGTATTAGGTTTATTTAAAGGAAATAAAATAAAATAAAATAAAATAAAATAAAATAAAATAAAATAAATTCAATAGAGGGTTACTGGAATGCTGGTTAAAAAATTGCTTACTAATACTGCAGAATAGACTATTCAGAATAAGAGTCATTGTGTGTGTGTATGCCCGTGTGTGTATACACACACAATGTACAAAATATACAACATAACACATACTGTATGAGAAAGGTACTATAAAAATTGTTAGAAAATTGTTGAGTTTACCATATTTTATTTAAAAATTAAATATAGCTGTTATCAAGAATAAAATAAAAAGTATTTTTCAAATATGAAAAGATAACATATAACTTTTTAGAATAAAGAATAGTATAATACCTCTGTGCTTTTGAAAAACTATTCGTTTAAAAAGAACCAAAAAAATTCATCATGAAAAAAGATTGACAATTATTTAGTAAAATGAGCAACTTATGTTCATAATGCAAGAAAAAGGAAAGAACAACACTAGCCACAAAGAGAACGCATTTGCATTACATATAATTAAAAGAGATTCTATATTCAGAAATATTAAGATGATTCCAACTAATAAATACCAAAATCCCAAAAAGGTAAATCAAAAAAATATCAAACCGCATTTCCAAAGATTAAAATCATTAAATAACAATTAAATTGTGAACATATACTGTAAATCCAGTTGGTAGTAAAATAAATGAAAATTTACACTACAGTGCTGTAACATTTTATAGCCATTCAACTTGTAAATATTAAAATGTGACATCACCACTCATTAGTACATGTAAAAAAAGAAGGAACTGTTGATATAAATGTATATTGGAATAAATACTGTAGGAAACCTTCTAGAGTCGAATATGCACAATATCACAGAATATCCATTTGTACTTAATGTTCTTGGTGTGAAGTGACCAACCTCGAGTATTGACCCCAGACACTGATGCCACTTCGATATGACTTTATTTAGCCAACAAGTATTGTGCTCTCTTTTACTGTATTCTTGACTAATGTCCATTAATAGAAGCATTTATTTGGCTATGTTCTTATCAAGAAATTTGTATATTCACACAATTAAAAAAGTAAAACTAAATAGGTCCATTGGCAAAACAAGTTAACAAAAACATTTTACAACAGTTAATATAGACGAGTCTGAGAATGTCATCCATGTTACTTACAAAGACATGAACATGCTGGGATTTCAGAGCAGTGTACTTACTGACACGAATGCATCTGGGAGTAGGAGACCAGCCATTCTCCGTACAGTTAACTGTGGTCTGCTCATTTGGAAGACCATAGCCAGGATGGCAGGCAACTTCTATAGAGTTACCCTGTACAAACTTTCTTCCATTATTTTCATTATATCCATTTGCCAAATAAGGAAAATAACATTTTCCTAAGGACCATAACAAGGATAAATAAAGTAAATGAGAAGCATAAATTTGCTTAAAAAAAAAGTTTATTAAAATTATTGTTACAATGTTAAATAAGATTGCATAAACATCCAAAAAAAGTATAAATTAGTATGAACTAAAATTACTAACAAAGATTTGCACAAAAAGAAATATCAACATTGAAGATTACTTCTCTGTAGTTTAAATAATTAAAATATGTATAAACTATATAGATATTCTCATAAAGTCTCTATATTTATTTCTTATATGATTTTCAAGAACTCTTCATAATAGAAAAGATCTATTCTCATCATTTGTGAACAACTCTTTTCTTGGCCCTATTTCTGTTACAGACAGAGTAATCATATGTACTCTTCTGTCTTTAATCTTTGAAAGTTTATGCATGTATAGCTGTCAGAGGTTTACTTACTGAGGCATGGTACTGTGGTGACCACCCATCTTGTGTGCAATGAATGTAATCCCAGTAACTTCCTGAAGGAGTCTCAAAAGATTCATCACAGTGATAGGAGAAATATTTTCCTACAGGTACTGGAAAGTGTAGTCTACATAGCTCTCATAATATAGACTTCCATGTTTAATGTCAGGAAAATGACAAGGTCTCACTTGCAATAAAAAACAAACAAAGCATAAATATTTTTTACTGTAATAACTCATATTAGAGATAAATTTTGGTATCACCTTCTCTCAAACATTTTCTTCTGGAATCACAGCAACCATGACTAGTTTCCTGATCCTGACTGCTGTCTTATAATCCTTTTCTTTTTGTATAAATTAATAACCCATCATCTGGCCATTTTATTTCTCCACTTAAAATCCTTAATGGATCCCAAATCAATTAACAGGACAAGAAGAACCTCATTCTACTTTCTCTACTTCTGCTAATGTAGTATGGTCTCTTCAGCAACTCTGGAGGAGGTTTATCAGCATTAGTTTAAACTGGGCTTATCTAGCTCTCTCACAGTTATGCTATAAAGCTGTCAGTTCAGGGTGTACATATTAGCATTAATTGTTTTTGAAAAGAAGAAACAAGAAATACGACTCTAACATTAAAAAAATCAAATGTAGCAAATTATCTTGAGAAATAAAACATTTTGTTGAATTTAAATCAGCATTTTGTTTGTATTCGATGGCATGCATTCTTACCATAGTTCGAATTCATGTATCGGATGAGATAAATTATTGACATAAAAATATGAGTCATACACGAATGTTCAAATATATATTTTATATATATATATATATATATTTTTACACCATAATTTAAATAGCATACAATTTATATTTCTTTTATAATTCTGGAACAAGTGATAGAAAATGTATTTACAACCCAACCTATATATTGTGAAAACTTAGAATGTAACTAAAGAAAAATCTTTACGTTTGAATCATCATAAATCAGAACTGGAAGGCTAGCACAACAGCTTCCAGTGTGCAGGCAGAGAAGACTAAGTTCAGAGAAACGACATCTTTACTTAGTGGGAAGCGTTTGCTAGTTACAGAACTGGCTCCAGAGAGGCTTGTTGGGTGATGCATGACAGCTTCTCTGACCCAGCCTTTAAGGCATGGATGCACAGTTTTCTGCTGAGTGTCTCCTCCATATTGGAAAATCTAACTTTCCCTGCTCTGTGTAACCTCCTGAGATACTCTTACATTTTCTTATGATTGCAAGATATTTGATCTGAAAAAAAAAAGGACATATATTAAAGGAAATCATTTTCTTTTTCTTTTCTTACTTTTTTCTTTTTCTTCTACTTTTTTGATGGTCTTGCTCTTTCGCCAAAGCTAGAGTACTGTGGCACGATCTCGGCTCACTGCAACCTCTGCCTCACAGATTCAAGGTCTATTCTGCTGCCTCAACCTCTTGAGGAGCTGGGATTACAGGTGTGCGCCGCCACACCCGGCTAAATTTTGAATTTTCCAGTAGAGACAGCGTTCCATCCATGTTGGCCAGGCTGGTCTCCAACTCCTGGCCTCAAGTGATCCGCGCCTTGGCCCCAAAGTGTTGGGATGCAAAGGCACCCAGGCTTTGGCTCAGTCAAAAATTACTTTTCTTAGTCAGCGATAATTTCGAACCTGTAGCAAGGTTTTCATAGTTTAGGTTTGTTTCTAAAAATCGTTTTTCCCACTAAAAGCCACTGGAATTTCATAGAGAAACTAAAGGAACTTGGTCTGTAGTAGGAAAAGTCAAGGAAAGCCTGGGACCTTTTGTTATGCCAAAGCTTGATGGGGAGCACGTGGAAATATACACAGAAGCCAGCTTCTTAGTGAGATTTGGAAACAGATTTGAGCGTCCCAAAGTACAATGGCAATTGATTGTAATGCATTGGGTACTGAAAATGATCAGTTTAAAAGGGATTTAGAAGCAACCCTGCTCTACAATACTACTTGTCACCCTTGACACTTTGTTATTTGTCACCCTTGACACTTTGTTATGGCAACTCTAGTAGATGAATGTACAATTTATACAACTCTAAAAGGATATTCAAAATTAAAAATAATGTTCTTGACACCCTATTTTTAAATAAGTGTAAATAACTTATGAGTTGATGAAAGAAATATGGGTCAATACAAATTCAATGAATATTATACTAAGTTACAATTACAAATTTTCTGTCAAGTTTATCTTTCAAATAGTGTGACTTCCAAAAGAATTGGCATGCTAATTTGATTGTTCAGAACTGAAACAGCAACTACCATTAAAAAAAAATTTTTAGCATAAGCAACTCACAAAATATATCATTCATTAATCATAGAAAAATATCTGTTGATTTGATTTACTAGATTCTGAATATAGATGAATACAGATAATATATAAACATAAAGTATTCAGCAAGACAAAAATCAGCAAGGACAATACACCCAAGATATTATTACCAAATTCTGATGAATACCCTCTAAAATCTGTGTTGATGGGTGTGTGTATCTATCTGTCTATCTATCTATCTATCTATCTATCTATCTATCTATCTATCCATCCTTGAGTAAAATGTAGACAGTTATTTTTAATTATTAATATTGTTTTAATAAATTGTGTAAATATCATTCTATTCATCTGCTAGAACTACCATAAAAAGTATCACAGATTTCATAGAAATTTATTTTCTCACAGTTCTGGAAGCTACTAGTTTGAGATATAGCTGTCAACGGGGTTGAATTCTTCTGAGACCTCTTCCTTTGTCTTGTAAATGGTTGTATTCTCTCCATGCTTTGCGTGGTCTTTCTCTATCTATATGGTGTGTCCTTATTTTCTCTTCTTATATAGACACCAGTTATATTGGAGTAGGGCCCACCTGAATCATTGACCTTTACCGTAGTTATCTCTTAAACACTCCTTCTCCAAATGCACTCACATTCTCAGGTATTGAGAGTTTGGACTTTAACAAATGAATTTTGGAGGGATGCAGTTGAGCCAATGCTCCTGAATACACAAAGATGTTTCTCTCTACCCAAGACGTTATTCCACTAAATGAGTTACTTTCTCCTTTGAGAAATGTAGGTGCGACCCAAATTTCCAAGACATTTTGCTCAAGTTTACTCTTACAAAGAGTTCATCGGAGGAGACAAGTTTTCAACTGGAATATCAGATAAAAAATAATTTGTCATCATTCTTTTCTATAGTGCTTTTAAGAAAGTAAGTAAGAAAGTATAGCCCATATGCTTCTCTAATTCCAGTCATTTCAAACTAGTACTATTTTTCTTCTTTGCATTCTACTTTAATCTATTTAATCTTTATTTGAAAAAATGTACCTGGAACAGTTCAGTTAAAAAAGCAAATAACCGGAGTAATTCCTTTTTTTTTCCATTTTGGAATAGATCAAGTTTGTTTTGCACAACAAATAAAACTAGCAAATCATGTGATAGATAATACCATAAAACTTAAAGCTCTTTCCCTAGAATCAAATAAGGTGGCCTAGTTTTGAGAGGAGAGGCTGAGGGAAAAGATAGTCTCATAAATTGACAATGGTATTTCCGGTATTACCCTCTGTTATGTTTGCTGAAATATTATAAAACCTTGAATAATTACAAAGTTTGTATTCTTCATTAATAGCCACACACCCTTGATTGGCCATGATTTTTGACCCATATGGTTCAGCTGCTAATGTTATGATACAGTTCTTTAACATGGAAAGCCTGCATTCAAAAAGATAGTTAATATAGAAAATATGTGACTTCCAAGGAGAAATCAGTGAACAATAACATAAAACTCTGAAAAGTATTTTCTGTGTATTTACTTATTGAACATTTGCTAGTGGACTCAGAAAAGCCAGTCAAAACTTACTGTCATTCCAATGTAAGTTTATATTCTACTTTTTATGTCATTCCGATATAAGTTTATATTCTATATATATAAAAATATGTTGCTAATTTTGTTGAAACAGTAAGTTGATGATAATGTTAATTAGTTTTAGCAGCTTTTTAAAGATATAATAGAAATATACAAAACTGCATAATTTAAAATTATTATTTGATTTTTGATATATAAATCTATAAAAATCACCATATGTAAGATTATGAAAATATCAATCACTCCCAATGTTCCCCTTGTATTACGGATAAGAAAATTCTGAACGTTTCAAGCTTAGAATCTGTCTAATGACATGTTTCCTAATAAAGTTTCATGAGTATGTTCACATATATCCTTAATCAATATTAAATGGCTTTTACAGTGCAGAACTTAGAAAACAAATAAAATATTATTCATTTTTTATTTAAGTTAAAATGAGATAACATTTTATAAAATTAGTTTCTCTTATACTCCCACAAATATATGCCACTTCCACTAGCATAGTGAATAAATCCTCTTTGATTCATTAAAAAAAGATAGACATACAAAGCTAGATATTACCTGAAGTTACATTTAAGAGGGAAGCTGAGTGTTTAGATCTCTTTTAACTTACCTTGTCCATTAGCACAGAAAACCCACAAGGTGAGAATGACATTGATTAGTAACAACATGTTAGATATTCTCAGTAGTATATATTAATACAAAGGTCTCAATTACACTGTTTGGGGTTTGAAATCTTTCCTTGCTAGTTACCAAGTGTGATTCTGAATTTAAGTGCACTACCACAAAGCTAAGCCTTTAAGGTCACTTAGTAAATATCAAAGTTCAGAGAGTTTTGCAAAATCTTTCAATAATTCCAGTTAGTGGTTTCACAATCATCTGTGGAATTGATTCCCTGATGTGTACTGGTACAATTTTATTTAGGGACAGTAATGGACTGAATCCAAAAGTAATATAAAATATTAATTTATTTTATTTCTTATTTTTTGAGTAAAGAGAGTATTAATAAAGGGAACGAAAAGCTTCTGCAACTATTGGAAGAACTGAGGGAACCGTGGTCAGAAATGCTATTTCCAGAAAATTCTGATATTCAAGAATCTTAGTGATGCCCTCACTAATTATCCATGGCGCTGCAGTGGATGTTTCTCAGAAAACTTCCAGAATCAAGAAAAGCTACTGTTGGTGATCTCAGCTGCTACCAGATAATACCTTGTCTTTCTCTTCTTCCAAATCTTCTTTAAGTACATCTCATGGGGGAATCTAAGGGAGAAGCAAGTTATGGAGAAAGGAACTTCAGATACTATAGTTTCAAACTTATGGTCTGCAATGCAGAAGAAAAGGAAAATAGGAACTGGGTTGATGTCACATTGAAAATAAACATCTGGCACACTAATCTCCTTCTGAAAATCCTGCTGTTGAGCTTGGCAAGCTTATTTTTTTTTTTTTTTTTCGTCACAAATGGTCAAAATACAATTTCTTATCCAACATACTCTTCTTAAAATGAGAACACTAATTTTAAAATTAAACACTGGAATATAGGTGAGTTTCTTCCACATACAGATGAATCTTGAATGAATAACTCTCAGGGTCCATGTCACTAAAATTTTCTGTTGTCCTTTGCTTTGCAGTACCCAACTTAATTATTTCAGGATGTACGAAAACAAACCTGTGTGTCTGGACCACATTCCACTGTCTGTATCTTTATGTGTTTAGAGAAACAGACTGATTTTCAGAACTCACAATAGATCATACTGAGTAAAAAAGTTTCAGCATATTCTTGGTATTTAAATATTTTTAAAGTTGTGTTTTGGGGTATCTTTTATTTTAAGGTACAATACATTTATACACACACACACACATATATATATAAATTTCTGCTTTGTTAAAAGAATATAACTCAAGTCCACACATGTTCTCTCATTGACTTCTTCTGTTTTTTCTTTATTTTACATTATTATACTTGCTGTGTTTTAAGATACTGTTCATCAAAATAAGAGAATCATGGAGAGAATAACATCAGCAAAACAGCAGTGTAGGAGTTCTCCAGCTTCTCTCCCTCCTACAGAAACTTAATAGCAACCACCCAGACCCAAGATTACCACCCTGAATATCCCAGAACTCAGGAGTGAAGCTATAATATAGCAAACAAATCAAAATAAGAGCTACAAAATTGGTTAAAGAACATACAATTTAAAAAGTTATAAGTTGTAACTTCAAACATTCAAAATGCGTGCCAAAGTAGAGTAAA